CCAGGAATGTATGATGGTTGCCATGGTAACCAATCACAGCTATGGCAATGTGTGATGATTGCCATTGTAACTGACCGCGGCAGTGAGAATGTATGCTGGTTCCCATGGTAACTTACCATAGCAATGGGAGTGTATGATGGTTGCCATGGTAACCGACCCTAGCAATCTCTCCTAGTTGCAAGAACCGGGACCAGTTTATCACTGGGTGGCTACAACCAAAACTGTGTATTCTACACCCTCTGTGGCATTTCTGATGGACTCTTAACAATGGATCTGTTGCAGCAGCTGCCCAGGGACCACCTGACACCTCAGCCTACCAGCTGGCTGGGAAAGAACTGTGCAAGGAGTGTTCCTTTGTCTTCACACCCAGGACTCAGCTGGGATAACTCCCCTCGGGGAGGCATTAGCACCTTCACCCCCAGCCTGAGGGGTCATCTCTGCCAATGGGCCGCCTTGGACTGGCAGAACAGGCAGCTGCACACCCAGACCATCACACGCTCCAAAAATACCCCGGGACTCACAGAGTTAAATCATCCATTGGGAAACTCCCCGCCCTGGGGGAGGTGCTGCACATCCCCACCTGAACCTGAGCACATTTACTCTTGGGCTCTGGGGACTTCTGCTACCACTCGTGGCATGGAGAGGAGGACCAGAACTCCAACAGGACTGGGATTGGCACTCTCCACAGGACTGCCATCATTACCTCAACACAACTGCCACCATCATCTGCACCAACAGCTTTCCCTTGTCCTTTGCACCCTGGGGGGCCACGTGGTGCTCAGCACTGTTCTGTTCTTGTCCCAGGCTGCTGGCTTATACAGCTATTTGTGTGGGTTAGAACCAGTTTTCTCTGTATCATTGTATTTCTTGTCATCTTCTCAGTAAATTGTAAGTCTGACTTGTAATCCCTCGGGTGGGTTCATTTCTCCCTCCGGTTTACTTTTAACCCAACACACGATGGGAACATACGATGGTTGCCATGGTAACTGACCGTGGCAAGGGGGCTCAGTGCCATTGCCCACGGCTTCCACTTCTGCAAATTGGCTTCATTCACCTTCTCCTTCAGCAACCTCAGCCACTCGTCGTGGGGGGCCCCACACAGCAGCTTCCCAGCTCCGTGAGGTTCTGCAGCAGCCCAGGGTTCCTTTGGCCCCCCAAGGTCCTGCAGTGTCCCAATGGCCCCTCGATTTCGTGAGGCTCCACAGTGTCCCAGGGTCTCCCTGCTTCCATGAGTTTCCCCAGTGTCCCAGGTTTCCTTTGATTCCACGAGACCCAGAGGTGAAGCAGTGGTCCCTTCATTCCACGAGGTTTTGCAGTGTCCCGAGGGCTCCTTTCTGCTGTCAGGTTCTGCAGAGTCTCAGGTTCCTCTGTTTTCAGGAGTTTCTGCAGTGTCCCGATGTCCTAGTTAGGACAGCTGAGACCAGTTCATCACTGGATGGGTGTAACCCAAAACTGTGTATTCTATAGCCTTCCATGCCATTTCCCAGAAACTGTTATCAATAGAGCATTTACAACATCTGCACATAGAGCCTGACTCCTCAGGCTATAAACTAGGCATTAAGAGGCCTGCAAGATAGGAATATGTTCCTGTCCTCACACCTTTTTATGGAATACCCCACTCTGAGGGAAGGACTGAGCATTCCTACCTGAACTGGAGAATATATAAACTTGGAGTTTTGGAACCTTTTTTACCACTCGTGGGATCCAGAGGAAGACTGCAGCTCATCGCTCTCAACCAGACTGAGACCACCACCCTCAACTGGACTGCAATCCCCACTTTTGACCAGACTGCACCAGCACTCTCACCAACAGGTTTTCCCCTCACCTTTTCCTTTGGACTCAGGGGGCCCAAAGAACACCACTCTGTTCATGCCCCAGGGTGCTGGGTTATATATTTGGGTTTTGTGGGTTAAAACCAATTGTTTGTCTGTATAATTGTACTTATTGTATTATTTTATTAAATTGTTATTCTGACTTATAATCTCTCTTTTGAGTTGAGTTCATTTCCTATTTATTCTTGCTTTGGTTTTCTCCTTCTTTCATATGCTCTAGTTTTATGGGAGAAATTTGCTTGAACCATGCATCACCACAGAATTCCAACATTTTACCGAGGGGAATATCTGGAGGAATATAAGAGTTGTCACCCTTTTTGCCACATCCCCTATCTGGATTTTTGCCCCTCATGGGCACTGGCCTTTTGTGCCCCTTGGGCATTTTCCTTTTGCTTTCCCCCAGTTCCCACATTTACTCACTGGTGAGATTCCTCAGTCTTTCCCTGTGGACTCCTTTCCAGATTATGACATTTCCTTACCCTTTCTTCCCCTCTCGCCTGTCTCTGGACCGTCTCAGGAACCCGATGAACTGTCCCATTCTGGCCACAAATGAAGGGAGTAGATCACCAAACTTCAACGCAGGGGCTTCCCTATCCCTTGCAGCTGCTGGGTTCTCTTGTTCCTCAGCAAACTATACAGATACTTCAAAATGGGGGTCAAAGGCTGCTTCAAAATGGGGTCAAAGGCTGCATAAACTGTAACTTTCTACTCTACTGCTAAACCAATTAGGACTGTAGTACAACTTTTGCAAGAACAGTCTTATTATTACTTATACCAGGCAGGAAGTTTCCAGCACAGGATGAATTGTCTTTGTTAGTCTCTTCTTTATCTTGTGGTTGCTTCACATGTCCTTGGAGGGCTCTAAATTCTGGATTCCATGTGTCCAGATTTTAGTTCCCCCAGGATTTCTTCATTGAAGCTTCTCACGGTTAGTTTGAAACTTAAAGTTTCAGTGATCTCATGATCAAACTCTGACAGTAACTGTCTGTGAAAACAAGCTTGGCACCAAACTGACTGAAGTGGGAAATTTCTTGATCGAGGTGTTTGTTCCCTCTGGAGCCTCCTTCTGCTACGAGGGGATTTCTCTGATGGTTCCCTGTTGGCTTCCATTATCCCAGGAGTCCCTGGTTTATCTCTGTGAGACATCAGCTGTGCTCCAGTGTGGCTGTTCCATCTCAGAGTCACCTCAGAGGGGCCCTCACGGGTACCTTGTCCCTCTAAGTTTTTCATGTTATCCCACAGATTTCATGGAACAAGCCTGATCTTGTACCCCTCCCCCATCATGTCCAGTGTAGAGCCCTGGGACACTGTGGAACCTCATGGAACCAAGGGGCCACTGTGACACCACAGGGCTTCATGGAACCCAAGGGACCCTGGGACACTGTGGGGGCTGATGGGACCAAAGGGACCCTGGGACACTGTGGGGGCTCATGGAACCAAAGGGACCCTGGGACACTGTGGGGGCTCATGGAACCCAAGGGACCCTGGGACACTGTGGGGGTTGATGGAACCAAAGGGACCCTGGGACACTGTCAGGAGCCTCGTGGTGCCCAGGGCTGAGGAATCCCGTGGGTGCAGGTGGCTCAGGGAGCAGCTGCAGTTGGAGCTGTGGGATGAGCTCTGGGTGAGGGGCCTCAGACCAAAGGCCGTGAGCTGCTGACCCTGGAGACACAGCAGGAGCCCAGGACTCAGCAGGAAGAGCGTTTTATGTGCTTGGAGTGTGAGGGAATAAAACCTCGTGGAGTTTTTTTAGGGGGTCCCCCCTTGACGCACCAGCTCAGGCTGTTTTTGTGTTTCTTCACAAGAAATAAATTGTTTTATTGTTTCTAAGACATGAGACTCTGCCATGGGAAACCTGGGGTGGAAGCAGTGAGGAAACCTGGTCTGACTGTGAGAGTGGGGGGTGTGGGGAGTCACAGGGGACCCGTCGGGTCACTGGAGCTGCTGCTGCTGGGAAGGGGCCTGAGTGTCAGCAGTGCCAGTCTGGGCTGGTGGGAGAGTGACTGCCAGGGAGTCTTGGGAATGGTGAGCCTGGGAAGTTTCCTTAAGAGTGTGAGGGGGATCTCGAGTGCAGAGACCCCCAGGAGCCCCCTGAGCCGCTCTGCTCATGGCAAGGATGCAGAGGAGGCAGAGTTACTGAACACCTTTGCACTGACAAGACCTCAGGGATCTCTGGCCCAGGAGACCAGGCTATAGGAATGTTGGAAGGAAGACCTTGCCTTGCTCAAGGAAGATTGGGTCAGAGAACACCTCCAAAAACTCTACACCCACAAGTCCGTGGGACACTTGATGACCTCCTGTCACCAAGGGGACCCTGTGACACTGTGGGACCTCGTGGTTATCAGTCTCTTCCAAACGTTGTGTGCAACTACAGAGAGGCAAAACAGTGGAGCCTGAGTGTGTTGATCCAAACTACTCCCATCTCACCTGAAGATGTCCCTGCTAACAGAGGTCCTGTGTGTTCCCTCTGCTCTCTGGGCACTTGCATCCTTTGAGAGCTGCCCATCACTCTGGTAGCCAAGAGCACAGGGCGGGGGATCCCCTGGAGGGGGAGCAGAGACATCTTTCCTAGATCACCTTGCTCAGAGCCCCATCCAACCTGGCCTTGAATGTTTGCAGGGATGGGGCATCCACCACCTCCCTGCAAATGTCTTCCTGTGTTTCAGCATTCTCACTAGAAAATAGTTCTTCTTTATCTCTGGTCTGGACTTGCACTTTTTTAGTTTAACTCCCTCACCCCCTGTCCTATTAGGACAGGCCCTACTGAACCCTTTGCCCACATGTCTCTAAAAAGCTGCCTTGAAGTACTGGAAGGCCCCAAGGAGGTCTCCCCACAGGCTTTTCTTCTGCAGGCTGAAGAGCCCCCACTCTCTCAGCCTGTCTCCATGCGAGAGGTGCTGCAGCCCTGGGATCCCCTGGGTGGCCTCCTCTGGAAGTGCCCCAAGAGGTGCGTGTCTTTGCTGTGCTGAGGAGCCCATGGAGCTGCAGGAGATGCCAGGGCTGGCAGGGGAATCCCCCCAAGCCATTGCCATTGCGGGTGGGTGCGTTGCAGACAGCCAGAGGAGCCCAGAGCTGGAGGCAGCACTGCAGGGGGGTCTCAGCTGAGCGGAGCAGAGGGGCAGAACCCCGTGGATGTGGGAACACACACACCCAGACAGACACAGAGCATTTGTTTTGCTGCAGGGGTTTATTGATTCTTGCAGGGAAATTGCCAGGGCACCCAGGGGATCAGGGGGGTCCTCCAGGGATGATCATCTCCTCATGCCGCTGGAGGGGGCCAGGACACGGGTGTCACCACCACTTCCAGTCCTGAAAGACAGAGCCCCAAACGTCACCCCCGGTGTCCACAGGGACATGGGAGGGGCCTTGTCCCCACCCTGTCTGTCTGCAGGGAGCTGGGGCAGGAGAAGGGAATTGGATGCTGAGATCCATGTGGCCCCCCAGAGCCCCCCAGCCCGGGATGCTCTGACACCTCCCCGAGCCCCTCCCTGCCCTCCCGGTGAGCCTGGGGGTCTGCAGAGCCCCCAGTGCAAGGCCAGGCTTGGGGGCAGCTCTGTCCAGCTGCCCCGGGACACGGAGCAGGGACAGCCCCCTGCGTGTCCCTCTGCTGTCCCCCAGCTCTGCCCACTGCAGAGGGCTCAGGGACCCCCCAGGGCCCTGCCAGGCTCCTTTGGGGGGCTGAGGAGCCTCCCATATTTCTCACCTGGACATGCAGAGAGGCAGCCGAGCGTCACTGGCGCATCAGCTCCACCTGGTCAGCCACGGGGGGCTGGGGACAAAGGCAGGGTTAGAGACACACTGGGCTGGTTCTGGGACGAACTGGACTGGACTGGGACAAACTGGGCTGAACTGGGACACACTGGGATGTACTGGGGCACACTGGGCAGGACTGGGACACACTGGGATTCTGGGGAGGGTGGTGGCCATGAGAGGGGAGGGTCTGTGCCCAGCAGAACTTGGGGTACCCACCTCAGACCTCTTCACTCGACCGATATCCATGCCTCCCTGGAGAGAGAGTGTGAGGTGTCACTGGTCACTGGGGTGTTCCCAGGCCCAGGAGGGATGGGGGGACTACATTTCCCCCCATTTCCCACACTGGGGACATCTCAACTCCAGGACTTACCCCAACACATCCACCTCCTCCTTGTCCCGAGATTGGCTGGGGAAGGAGAGCAAAGGTTTAAGCAGGATTGGCCCCTGTGGGGCTGGGGGAGAGACACGGGTGTCCCCAGACCCTCCAGCCGCTGGTCTGAGGGGGAAAATCCCTTCTGCTCCCCCCAGCCCCACTGCACCCAGTTTCCCCTGGGATCCCTGTTCCTGCAGGGCCCAGGGTGGGGATGGAGACAAGGAGAGCCAGGGGAATTCAGGGCCTGCAGGAGGGTGGGGGGAGGACGAGGGGACCCAAAGAGGGTGAAGTCGGGGGAATTGGGGATCCCACAGGATGGGCATTGGGGTGTGGAAGGGATGGGACTGTGGGGGATGCAGGTGAGGAGGAAGGGATTGCAGTGGAGGGGACCCAGGGAATGAAGCAGGGCAGGGGTGGGGGCAGGAGAAATGGGGAAGGGGAGAAAAGTGGAAGGGACTGGGAGGGTCTTTGGGACTGAGGGGTCAAGGAAGGGGATTTCTGGACACGAGTGTCATGGGCAATGGGCAAGGGAAAGGATTAGAGGAGAAAGAGGGGAAGAAATGGTGTGGGAATGATGCCCTGTGTGTGTGTGGTGGGGTGGCCTGGGGTGTGTGGGAATAGAGTGGGGGCCCTGAGGAAGGGGCCTCCCCGGTGCACATTGGGGTGGACTGGGGAGCACTGGGATGGCCTGGAGGGTGGTGGCCACCAGAGGGGAGGGTCTGGGCCCAGCACAAGCCCTGGTACCCACCGGGCCGCCGATGACGCCTCCCTGTAGAGAGACAAGGAGACATCACTGGTCACTGGGGTGTCCCCAGTGCCAGGAAGGGATGGGGGCCCAAAGTGCCCCCCACTTCCCACACTGGGTGCCCCCAACTCCCAGACTTACCTCCCCACATTGGACGCTGTCAACCTCAATGGGCTGCAGGAGGAGAGCAAAGGCTTGGTTGGGGTTGGCCTTGTGGGGCTGGGGGGGACACGGGTGTCCCCACCCCCTCCAGCCCCGGCTGCCCCCCGGGCTGAGCGGGGCTCTTTGGGATTGCGGCTCCCAGGCAAGTTGGGGACACCAGTGCAGGGGGAAAGGCAAGGCATTGAGGGCAAAGCCTGGAGGAAAGGCCCTGGGAATGGGCCATGGCAGGGCATTTCCCAGTTGGTGCCAGTTCAGCCTGGCCAGGCCTTGTCCCACTTGAGCCCAGGGTGGAGCTTGGGCCTGTTTGTCCTCCTTGGACTCAACTGGGCTTGGCCCAGTTCCACCCAGTTTGGGTTGGGCCTTTGCCTTGGCTGGGAAAGAGAGGAGATGGTGGGGAGATGCCCAAGGGGACCAAGAGGATGGGATGGGGAGGCCCAAAAAGGTGGGATTTGGGGTCAGAAAGAGCAGGAAGCGTTGGGACTGTGCCAGGATGGAGCCGGGTGCAAGCATCCCGTGAGGAATCAGAGCTGCAGCAGCAGGAGTTGAATTGTGGGAAGGGGAAGGAGAGAGGGAATTGTGGCCAGAAGAAAGTGGCCTGGCCCGGGGCTGGGGGTGCTGGGGAGTGCTGGGGGAGCCCCTGGATTGGGAAGGGGCCCATCCCTGAGCCCATGGCCGTGGCATGGGGGCCTCACCTTGGCATCTGCCGGGGGGCTCAGCAGGATGGTGAAGAGCAGGGCCACGCTGAGCACAGCGACCTTCATCTTCCTCTGGGCCTGGGCAGCGCTGGCTGAGGCTGCACAAGGGCAGGAGCACATTTATCCCTGCCGGGACTCCTCCCTGCCCCCTCCCCGAGAGCCCCCGGGGCAAAGCCCGGCTGGGCACAGCCCCCAGCCCTGGCCACAAGCCCAGCCCTGGCACAGAGTCCATCCCGCCTGCGGCACCCATCCAGCCACCTTCCCCGGCATCCCTCCAGCTTCCTGCACGGGGCAGCTGCCCCTGGAAGGGCCCAGGCCCCTGGGGGTGCCAAGGGGGTGGGCAGGGAGCTGAAAGCAGCTGCATACCCTGTGGGGACAATCCCACAACAACACAATCCATCCTCCAACAGCCCCCAAAGCCTGATCCCCCCATGTCCTCCTGCCCATCCCTTCCCAGAGCTTTCCCTCTGGGACACCCCAGAGCTCAGCCCAGCCCCAAACCAGGCGTGTCTGAGCACAATTGTCCCTGTTCCCACTCCAGCCCCTTGGCTGAACGCAGAGCTGGCACTGACCCCCTTCTTGGGGCACCAGGAGCCCGGGATCAGGGAAACAGGGAGCTGGGAGATAAAGGGGCTGACGGGCAATGGGCACAGGCAGGTGACTGGGATCTCCAGTCTGGGCAGGCACTGGGGAGCACTGGGCAATGCTGGCCCTGGCACACAAGGGCTGGGCCCAGGGAAGTGCTGGGGTGGTGGCAGTGCCCGGCTCCAGCCCATTTGCGGGCACTGCAGCCCCCAAGTGGTGCAGGCCCAGCCACGGCCTCCCCGAGCAGAGCCCAGAGGGGCAGATGCCCTTTGCTGGCCCTGCCCCTGTCCCAGCTGGGCACACCGTGTCCTCCCGCATCAGCCGGGCCCCGCTCTGCTGAGCTGGCCCAGGCAGGGGGGGCCAGGCACTGGCAGCCCAGCAGGGCTCTGGCTCCACACTGGGCTGGCCCTGGCACACAGCTGCCCCAGTGCCCCTGTCCCCAGGGATGGCCCTGCCCTGCCCTGGGCCCAGCGCTGGCCCTCAGCAGGATGGCACCTTCCCGCCCCACTCTCCCTCCCTCCCCACCCGCCTCACAGACCCCTCTGGGCTGGGACCCCCGTGGGCACAGATCAAGGACAGCCACTGAGCGGGGGCTCCCGGCACCTGCCACAGCCTCAATTCTCCACTCACCTTTGGCAACATTTCCACAACACCTTCCATCCTTACGGGCCCCTGGCCAGACACACAAGAGACCATTGTGGGGCAGCTGGGAAAACATCTCAGCTGAATGACTTGACTATTTGCCTTGCATTTTCCCCAGGAGCCGGCAGTGACCTGGAAGATTTTCCTTTTGCCCTTTTCTGCTTCGTGCCTCGTTTGTTGGATAATTGAGGAGCTTTGACAGAGGAGGGGCCCAGGGGAGGTGAAGCCGCTCAAGAAGGAGGCATTTACAGCCCCTCAACACCAAATGTCCTACTCTGGATCATCCAAATTGTGGTATCAGCAGATCACTGGAAGAGGGAAATGTCCCCAGTGTGGTGTTTGAGAGAGAGATGGACGAGAGACGTGAGCAGGGTGCCTGAGTTGCAACTGATCCCCCCTGGACTGTCTCCTTCCTTCCCCCTGAGCAGAGCTGGGAGCACCTGGGGAAATTCCTCTTGTTCCTGCAGTCCCTGCTGTGGGATTTTTCCCACCCTCTGGTTCCAAATGGATTTGGGGCCTGGCCGTTCTCCTCAGGTCGTGACCCACAGGGAGGTATTGTGGTGACTCCCAGAAGGAAAGGGGAGGAGAAAAGGGGACCCTGTTCTCCCCACATTTACATCTCCCTTCCCAATTTCCTGGTGCCCTTGGATTCCCAGAGTCCCTCAGTAGCTACATGAGGGAGGGCAGGACCAGACTGAGCAGGAGGTGTCTGTCCTGTTGTCCTGGTTTTGACTGGGATAATGGACTGGTTTACAGTCCCTGCCCACCACAGGGACTTGTCTCAGCACAGAATCCTGGAATCATGGACTGGGTTGGGTGGGAAGGGACCTTAAAACTCATCCCGTGCCACCCCCTGCCATGGGCAGGGACACCTTCCACTAGCCCAGGTTACTCCAAGCCCCGTCCATCCTGGCCTTTGACACTTCCAGGGATGGGGCAGCCACAGCTCCTCGGAGCAACCTGTGCCAGGGCCTCCCCCCTCACAGGGAAAATTTTCTTCCCTCTATCCCCCTAAGCCTGCCCTCTGTCAGTGGGAAGCCATTCCCCCTTCTCCCATCACTACAGGTCCTTGGCCAAAATCCCTCTGCAACCCTCTGGGAGCCCCTCGAGGCACTGGAAGGGGCTCTAAGGCCGCTCTGCAGCCTTCGTTTCTCCAGGATAAACAATCCCAGTTGTCCCAGCCTGTCCCCAGAGCAGAGGGGCTCCAGCCCTCAGAGCATCTTTGTGGCCTCCTCTGGATCCACTCCAACAGGTGCATTCCTCCTGATCTGGGCCCCCCGAGCTGGAGGCAGCACTGCAGGTGGGGTCTCACCTGAGGGCAGCAGAGGGGCACATTCCCCTCCTCCCCTGCCCCGGGATGAGCCCCGCACAGGGGGGGTTTCCAGGCTGGCTCGTGTCCCATTTGTCACCCACCAGCACCCCCAGAGCCCTCTCCCAGCAGGGACTTCCATCCCTTCCTCCCCCAGCCTGCACCGATCCCGGGGGTTGCCCTGACCCGGCTGCACCACCTTGGTCTTGTCCAACCTCAGCAGATTCCCGTGTGTGCCGGCAAACGGGGGGAAGGGGAATTCACCCGACTCTTGGGGATTTGTTTGTCTGCTGGTGCCCCAGGGAAAACCAAAACCCTGCCAGTCCCATCTAGTCTGTCCCATATTCCACCCAGGAACCCTCCACCAAACAGATCCACCAGGTGGGGGGAATTCCAGTGCCCTTTTTCGGACACTGACACGTCACAGCCAAAGGAAAACCCCTCAGTGGATATTTCCACCAGTTACTCCAGCATCAACAGAACTGGCAGCACCTTTATAAAGGACTCCCTCCAACAGTCTGAGGAATAACACTCTTTATTAATACAAATTGGCACAGGTTAAAGGTTCGTGGTGGTCAGGGACAGGGTCTGGCTGCAAAAACACACTTTGAACAATCTCAAAATTGTTGTTAAAGCAAAGCAAAGCACAACCTCTAAACCAAACCAATCCACAACTACATTAGGAAGCAAAAGCCAGCTCTAGTCCTTCCAAGCAGTGACTAACACGCAGAGCTGACACTTCCCACCCAGCACAGGCGTCCCTGAGGGGAGGAAGGCAGGTTCAACCCCTCCATTGATCCCAGCAGGTTCAATGGAAATCTCCCTCTAATTCTTTCCCCATTTCCAACTCTCTTTTATACTCTTTCTTTAGGTTTAGGAGGAGTTTGAGGGTTTCTACTGAGAAGTGTTACAATTGTTTCTGGGTGCCTGGGGAGTTTTGTGGGGCATGGTGACCTTATCCCAGCTGGGAAGCAGCAGCTGGAGTCTCTTTGCTGTCTGGGAAGCAGCAGCTGGTTTTCCTCTCTAATTCCTATTCTGTGTTAACTTTTAGCCTTATCTCTCTCTCCACACTCTGGGACCATTTCTCTGGCCTGTCCAGTTCCCCCTGGATGCCATCCCATCCCTCAGGTGTGTCACCTGCCCCGCTCAGCTCAGTGTCACAGGCTCAGGGTGCCCTCCATCCCTTGGCCTCCATCATTAAGGAAGAGGCCGGATACTGGGGCCAGGAGTGAGGAATTGGAGGGTGTGGAGTCCAGCTGGGGATTCCTTGCTGGGGATAAGGGCAGTGGGATTGGGAAGGGGGCAGCAGTCCTCAGCCTCTGGAGGTGTCTCCTGCAGAGAGGGAAGGACAGGAATGGCTTGGAGAAAGATCTTGCAAGCTCCCGGTGCAGGAGGTACCCAGGACGAGATGGAATTCCCTGTGGTGGAGGCAATCACATCCCCTTGGGGTGCAGGGGCTGTAAATGCCTCCTTCTTGAGCGGCTTCACCTCCCCTGGGCCCCTCCTCTGTCAACGTTCCTCAATTATCCAACAAACGAGGCACGAAGCAGAAAAGGGCAAAAGGAAAATCTTCCAGGTCACTGCCGGCTCCTGGGGAAAATGCAAGGCAAACAGTCAAGTCATTCAGCTGAGATGTTTTCCCAGCTGCCCCACAATGGTCTCTTGTGTGTGGTCAGGGGCCCGTAAGGATGGAAGGTGTTGCGGAAACGTGGCCAAAGGTGAGTGGAGAATTGAGGCTGTGGCAGGTGCCGGGAGCCCCCGCTCAGTGGCTGTCCTTGATCTGTGCCCACGGGGGTCCCAGCCCAGAGGGGCCTGTGAGGCGGGTGGGGAGGGAGGGAGAGTGGGGCGGGAAGGTGCCATCCTGCTGAGGGCCAGCGCTGGGCCCAGGGCAGGGCAGGGCCATCCCTGGGGACAGGGGCACTGGGGCAGCTGTGTGCCAGGGCCAGCCCAGTGTGGAGCCAGAGCCCTGCTGGGCTGCCAGTGCCTGGCCCCCCCTGCCTGGGCCAGCTCAGCAGAGCGGGGCCCGGCTGATGCGGGAGGACACGGGGTGCCCAGCTGGGACAGGGGCAGGGCCAGCAAAGGGCATCTGCCCCTCTGGGCTCTGCTCGGGGAGGCCGTGGCTGGGCCTGCACCACTTGGGGGCTGCAGTGCCCGCAAATGGGCTGGAGCCGGGCACTGCCACCACCCCAGCACTTCCCTGGGCCCAGCCCTTGTGTGCCAGGGCCAGCATTGCCCAGTGCTCCCCAGTGCCTGCCCAGACTGGAGATCCCAGTCACCCGCCTGTGCCCATTGCCCGTCAGCCCCTTTATCTCCCAGCTCCCTGTTTCCCTGATCCCGGGCTCCTGGTGCCCCAAGAAGGGGGTCAGTGCCAGCCCTGCGTTCAGCCAAGGGGCTGGAGTGGGAACAGGGACAATTGTGCTCAGACATGCTGGGTTTGGGGCTGGGTTGAGTTCTGGGGTGTCCCAGAGGGGAAGCTCTGGAAGGGATGGGCAGGAGGACATGGGGGGATCAGGCTTTGGGGGCTGTCTGAGGATGGATTGTGTTGTGTGGGATTGTCCCCACAGGGTATGCAGCTGCTTTCAGCTCCCTGCCCACCCCCTTGGCACCCCCAGGGGCCTGGGCCCTTCCAGGGGCAGCTGCCCCGTGCAGGAAGCTGGAGGGATGCCGGGGAAGGTGGCTGGATGGGTGCCGCAGGCGGGATGGACTCTGTGCCAGGGCTGGGCTTGTGGCCAGGGCTGGGGGCTGTGCCCAGCCGGGCTTTGCCCCGGGGGCTCTCGGGGAGGGGGCAGGGAGGAGTCCCGGCAGGGATAAATGTGCTCCTGCCCTTGTGCAGCCTCAGCCAGCGCTGCCCAGGCCCAGAGGAAGATGAAGGTCGCTGTGCTCAGCGTGGCCCTGCTCTTCACCATCCTGCTGAGCCCCCCGGCAGATGCCAAGGTGAGGCCCCCATGCCACGGCCATGGGCTCAGGGATGGGCCCCTTCCCAATCCAGGGGCTCCCCAGCACTCCCCAGAACCCCCAGCCCCGGGCCAGGCCACTTTCTTCTGGCCACAATTCCCTCTCTCCTTCCCCTTCCCACAATTCAACTCCTGCTGCTGCAGCTCCGCTTCCTCACGGGATGCTTGCACCCGGCTCCGTCCTGGCACAGTCCCAACGCTTCCTGCTCTTTCTGACCCCAAATCCCACCTTTTTGGGCCCCCCCATCCCATCCTCTTGGTCCCCTGGGGCATCTCCCCACCATCTCCTCTCTTTCCCAGCCAAGGCAAAGGCCCAACCCAAACTGGGTGGAACTGGGCCAAGCCCCACTGGAGTCCAAGGAGGACAAACAGGCCCAAGCTCCACCCTGGGCTCAAGTGGGACAAGGCCTGGCCAGGCTGAACTGGCACCAACTGGGAAATGCCCTGCCATGGCCCCTTCCCAGGGCCTTTCCTCCAGGCTTTGCCCTCAATGCCTTGCCTTTCCCCCTGCACTGGTGTCCCCAACTTGCCTGGGAGCCGCAATCCCAAAGAGCCCCGCTCAGCCCGGGGGGCAGCCGGGGCTGGAGGGGGTGGGGACACCCGTGTCCCCCCCAGCCCCACAAGGCCAACCCCAACCAAGCCTTTGCTCTCCTCCTGCAGCCCTTTCAGGCCAGCGGCGATGCCTGCGGGGGGGTAAGTCCGGGAGTTGGGGGGCACCCAGTGTGGGATGTGGGGGGCACTTTGGGCCCCCCATCCCTTCCTGGCACTGGGGACACCCCAGTGACCAGTGACGTCTCCTTGTCTCTCTACAGGGAGCCGTGACCAGCGTGAGTACCAGGGCTTGTGCTGGGCCCAGACCCTCCCCTCTGGTGGCCACCACCCTCCAGACCATCCCAAAGCTCCCCAGTCCACCCCAGTGTGCACTGGGGAGGCCCTTCCTCAGGGCCCCCACTCTATTCCCACACACCCCAGTCCACCCCACCACACACACACAGGCCATCATTCCCACACCATTTCTTCCCCTCTTTCTCCTCTAATCCTTTCCCTTTCCCATTGCCCATGACACTCGTGTCCAGAAATCCCCTTCCTTGACCCCTCAGTCCCAAAGACCCTCCCAATCCTGTCCAGTTTTCTCCCCTTCCCCATTTCTCCTGCCCCCACCCCTGCCCTGCTTCATTCCCTGGGTCCCCTCCACTGCAATCCCTTCCTCCTCACCCACATCCCCCACAGTCCCATCCCTTCCACACCCCAATGCCCATCCTGTGGGATCCCCAATTCCCCCCACTTCACCTCTTTGGGTCCCCTCCTCCTTCCCCCACCCTCCTGCAGGCCCTGAATTCCCCTGGCTCTCCTTGTCTCCATCCCCACCCTGGGCCCTGCAGGAACAGGGATCCCGGGGGAAACTGGGTGCAGTGGGGCTGGGGGGAGCAGAAGGGATTTTCCTCCTCAGAGGAGAAACCAACCATGGGCTGGGGGGTCTGGGGACACCCGTGTCCCTCCCCCAGCCCCACAGGGGCCAATCCTGCTTAAACCTTTGCTCTCCTTCCCCAGCCACTCGGGGGAATAGCAGGAGGTGGATGTGCTGGGGTAAGTCCTGGAGTTGGGATGTCCCCAGTGTGCGAAATGGGGGGAAATGTAGTCCTCCCATCCCTCCTGGGCCTGGGAACACCCCAGTGACCAGTGACACCTCACACTCTCTCTACAGGGAAGCATAAGTTCCAATCGAGTGAAGAGGTCTGAGGTGGGTACCCCGAGTTCTGCTGGGCCCAGACCCTCCCCTCTCATGGCCATGACCCTCCCTTGCATCCCAGTGTGCCCCAGTCCACCCCAGTGTGTCCCACTCAAGCCCAGTGTGTCCCAGTCCACCCCAGTGTGCCCCAGTACATCCCAGTGTGTCCCAGTTTACCCCAGTGTGTCTCTAACCCTGCCTTTGTCCCCAGCCCCCCATAGTTGACCTGGTGGAGCTGCTGCGTGAGTGACGCTCGGCTGCCTCTCTGCATGTCCAGGTGAGAAATATCAGAGGCTCCTCAGCCTCCCAAGGGAGCCTGGCAGGGCCCTGGGGGGTCCCTGAGCCCTCTGCAGTGGGCAGAGCTTGGGGACAGCAGAGGGACACGCAGGGGGCTGTCCCTGCTCCGTGTCCCGGGGCAGCTGGACAGAGCTGCCCCCAAGCCTGGCCTTGCACTGGGGGCTCTGCAGACCCCCAGGCTCACCGGGAGGGCAGGGAGGGGCTCGGGGAGGTGTCAGAGCATCCCGGGCTCAGGGGCTCTGGGGGCCACATGGATCTCAGCATCCAATTCCCTTCTCCTGCCCCAGCTCCCTGCAGACAGACAGGGTGGGGACAAGGCCCCTCCCATGTCCCTGTGGACACCGGGGGTGACGTTTGGGGCTCTGTCTTTCAGGACTGGAAGTGGTGGTGACACCCGTGTCCTGGCCCCCTCCAGCGGCATGAGGAGATGATCATCCCTGGAGGACCCCCCTGATCCCCTGGGTGCCCTGGCAATTTCCCTGCAAGAATCAATAAACCCCTGCAGCAAAACAAATGCTCTGTGTCTGTCTGGGTGTGTGTGTTCCCACCTCCACGGGTGCCTTCCCGTGTCCATGTGTGTTCCCACGTCCCCTGGGGCACCCGGTGGTTTGGGGGCACAGCGGGAAACAGGGTCTGACTGGGGCTGTCCAAGCACCGTCCCCAAGGAGCACAGCTTGGTGTCGGGGCAGGGGAGGGTCAGGGACAATCAGCCAAGGCCCCTCAGTCCTTCCCTGGGCTCTGGGAGGGATGGTGTGGGAAATAAAAAATCGGTTTTATTACAAGCAAATGAATTAAACAAATCACTAACGTAGGAGTTTTTCTTTACTAACCTATAAGGCATATCATGGAGTTGTAAGACACCAGATTCAGCCTGGAATCGGTGTCAGGGAAACCTGGGGACGGGAATAGGGAACTGTAAAATGAATATTGGTAAGGAAACCCCTTATACCACATGGCTGGTCCTGGAAGCTGCTGTGCTGCTGGACACTCCACCTCCCAGCACGACACAGCCAACCAGGGGGAGGGGAACACCTCTTCTATGACATAATCAGGGTGGAACCTTAAGAATGTTTAAAAAGCGGGACTTTTGAATTGGAGGTGTGTTCCTGGGAATCCTGCATGCCTAGGACACCCAACATGTGTTGTAATTAATTTTTCCTTTTCGTTTCATTCATTTTGTTTTGCAAACTTTTGCCATTTGTCTAAATTTAATAAATGAGATTTTTCTCACACTACTGCTCACCCTCTGCACATAATCACAGAAAGACTAAGGTGCTCTAGTCCAAGGCCTGTTCTGGAACAGGGTTTCCTAGAGTCAGTTGTCCCAATCCTTGAAGGTTGGGAAAAGCCAGGAAAGACGTAGGCAAAGAAGACATTCAGTATTCCTGCTTTTTTCCTGTCCTGTGGAACAAGCTCCCCCATCTTGTTGAGAGATGGGCCCACATTTTCCCTGCTTTTCCTTTTGTCACCTACAGACTTAAAGAAGTCCTTCCTGTTGTCTCTGACATCACTGGCCTGATTCAGTTCCATTTGGGCTTTGGCTTTACCAACTTCACCCCTGCATGCCCAGATAACATTTCTGTTTTCTTTCTTTGCGTCCACTCTCTGTAAGCTTCCTTTTTGTGTTTGAAAAACAAGCTCCTTGTCAAGCCATCCATGCAGAAGTTGCCTGATGTAGAACTACTCATTAATTATTAATTCCTTCTCAGCAACTTGAGGACTGGAAGAGAGGAATTCTGCACCAGCTGTTACCGAGGCCAAAGCCTTCCTGGGAAACCTGCCACAGATTCTGTGGCTGCCCCATCCCTGAAAGTGTCCAAGACCAGGTTGGACGGGGCTCGGAGCAACCTGGGCTCGTGGAAGGTGTCTCTGCCCACGGCAGGGGGGTTGGAACTGGCTGATCTTAAAGGTCCCTTCCATCGCAGCCCTTTCCATGATTCCATGATGCACAATAATAACTCTTCCTTTGTCCTCTCCTGCTCCCTGGCCGGTTGTGGGAGGCACTGGGGGGGACTGGGGAGGACTCCGAGCACCACTTGGGGCTTCAACCCTCAGCCAGCAGCTCTTCTGCCTGAGGGGAAGAAGTGAAAACAGATGCCAATTTCTCAGGATCTCCGTTTTTCTTCTTTTTCTTTCCAAGGGAAAGGTTTGCATTTGAAACAGGGCAGTTGGAGGCCAGGTTGCCCTTGAAGTCCTTTCTACAGAGTACAAGCACAGTGCTGCCTGTAATAGACTATGCTGGGTGATATTGTTTATCAAACAGGATGTGTAGCTTAACCGCTAAGCTAAGCTGAAGCAAGTGCTAAACCACAAAGAACTGTGCTAATGCTTAAACAAGATATACCTTAAGATTGCTAAATGTTCCAAGAAATGCAAGAACAACCCATATAAGGAGGACAAAAGCCACAAGAACCAAAGGGCAGAAAGAGGAAGACGTCTTACTTCAGCCTCGACGACCACCGGGAGGCAGAAAAGACCCCCTAGCAACAGCCCAGGCATGCGCAGAGTACAATTGTCACATCACGGAAAGCGGAACTAAAAGGATATAAAAAGAGACTGTCTTAGCATGATATTGCGGCAGTTGGTGGAGCGGTGACTCCCTTGTCGCCCAGTGCTGCACTTTGCTCATATTCTCTTGCTGTAATTAATAAATTCTAATTGGTATATTGATCCGTTGTGGTCTAATTTATAACAGATTGGTGCCGTGACTCGGATAAGGAACAGTGGGCTGCGGCTCTTCGGGGAGGTGCCCCGCGCTTGTTCGCGGCCCCGTATGAGACCGGCAGTTCACTGCAACCTGACCGAGGAACCTAAATTTGGAATATTGAGCAAAGGAAGAACCGGTCAGATCCCGTAATATTTTGTGCACAGAAGTCCGGACGAAGACGCAGGACGCGTAAGTATATCACGATTTGGTTCGCGGGGATTACCGTTCGGGCGGGATTGGGATTCCTGGAATATAACGAATGAGAGGCTCGACACACTGAGCCAAGCGAGTGCGGACCCTTTAGTACTGCGGTTCCCAACTCCCGCGAGGGATTGGGCCAGGAATAAGGGGAGCAAGTGTGTGTGTGGTTGCAGATATTCCAGAAGATGGGTGCGAAGGGCAGCAAGCCTTCGACTCCCATGGGACGGGTACCCTCTGTACCTAAGAATACCCCTCTAGTTTATATCTTAGACAATTGGAAACACTTCCTAGAGACATTAGGAAAAGGCAAGGAGAAGATGATAAAATATTGTACTAAGATATGGGGAGGGAAGAAAATCTTACAAAATGTCTTATGGCCGGTTTATGGGTCAAAAGAAGGCTGGGTAAGGCAACAGTTAAATCTTTGGGTTAATAATAAAAGACTCCTTAACTCAGAGGAAATCCAATATGCGGAAGGACCCAAGAGTAGGAGCTTGAAGCAGGACCCCCTGGGAGAAAGACAGTCTGTACTAGGCAGCTGCGGCTTTCAGGGTAGAAGGAATCGTCTTAGGGACACATCTATTGCAGAAAAAGAGGAACCTCTGAATGAGGTTAAAAATAGTAAAAAAGAGGAACCTCATAGAGAGATTGGAAATAGTTCTCTGGAGGAAAGATTAGTAAAAAGCGACTTTGAGGCTAGGTCGCTGGGGATTCCCCCTGATAGTCCCCTGGAAAAACTCCTAAAAAACTGGAGTTGTTATTCCAGCACTTATAAAACATCAAGGGAAAAAATGATTTACTATTGTATTGAAGTGTGGGGAGGTAGAAAAATAGGAAAAAGCACCTACTGGCCCATGTATGGTACTTTTGAGAATTGGGTCTGTGAACTTTTAAATTGGTATGTTAGCGATAAAAAACCCTTTTGCCCAGAGGAGGGTTTTTATGCCGTTATATGGTTAGAAGCCAGTGAAAATACCCACCTGTTTCCTTTAAGGAAAAGAAGGAAGCAAATGGACTCTGATAAAGATTCAGAGTCATGGAGCTCCCCTCCATCTTATCCATCAGATGTAGAACCAGATTCTCCCCCTAGACGAAGAACCAGAAGTCAGAGAGAGGTCACCCAAATGTATCCCTTGAGAGAAGTACCCATGGAGAGACCCAACCCTAGAGTAGGGTATGTATCGCTACCCCTAAATTCCACAGACTTGCGAGACTTTAAAAGAAACGAAATGGGGAGTTTAATCGAAGACCCCATCGGAGTGGCTGAAAGACTAGACCAATTTCTAAGACCCAATCTTTACACCTGGGATGAAATGCAATCAATCTTAAGTCAATTATTTACTACTGAAGAACAGAAGATGATTAGGCGAGCTGGGATGAGAGTCTGGGATAAGCAGCACGCCCAGGGACCACAGGCAGATACAAAGTGGCCACTTCAAAGACCTGATTGGAATAACCAAGAACCGGCCGACAGAACTAATATGCAAGATTTGAGAACAATAGTGATTCAGGGTATTAGAGAATATGGTCAAAATATCAACAAAGCATTTAACAAGATGCAAAAGAAGGATGAAAGTCCTACTGAATGGTTGGAAAGATTGAGAAAAGCTCTCCAGGGGGATTTGAGTGTCAACCCTGATGAACCAGTAGGACGAGTATTGCTTAAGCTACAGTTTGTAGCAAAATCATGGGAAGACATTAGAAAGAAAATTGAAAAATTAGAAAACTGGCAAGATAGAGAGCTAGATGAGTTGTTGAGAGAAGCCCAGAGAGTATATGTAAAGAGAAAGAAAGAGAGTGATAAGACCAGGCGAGAACAGGGAAGTTGTTTAAGAAGTCTTGAAAGAAGAATAAGACAGTTAAAAGAGCTCAAAATGAAGTTCCCATAAACAGGAGTCCACCTTTCAGTACAGGTGAACTCCTGCTTATCACCTTATCCCTTAACCATGGAAGATGAACAACAAATAAACTCAAATGTTTGGTATTCTACCTAAAAGAGGCCTTCTGGGCATTTCCTCTAAAAGAACAAAGTAAAAATTATTTAAGTCATTAAAGAATGGACAGAAAACTTTGAGTATAAAATGAGAATACCACACCCCCTGACATCCCAAAAGCTTGGGAAAAGTAGAAAGAGTGAATGGGGATCTTAATGCTACTATATTTAATGCTGCTCTATAATATACCATCATTAAGACAAAGATGAGGCACATACCAAAAAGTTGGTATGTTGTTCATTAAGTGGATATACTGTGAGTACATATATTTAACAAGACTGTAAAAATGTAAAAACACCAATCCGAACTGCAGGACGTGGATGGACAAATGCCAGTTGCATTGAAAGACTAATGAATCCCCCACACTGGAAAATGGTCAGCACTCCTGGAGACACCAAACTAATCTTAAGAAAATAAGTTATGATAAAGACATTGAGCAATTTCTTTGCTGCCTTACCTTTTTGAAATTAAGTGTCTACTAGCATTTATTGTGGCATTCATTTTATCTCTGCTTGTATATTATTTATGGAAGATCGCAAAGTGGGGCACAAGAATCTGTTAAAATATGTTGGACTAGGTTTTAACATAACATATAGGAAACACGCAGATCCA